ATTTTTTTAGGCTTCAAATATAAATTTTTGAAGACCAAAAAGTTATCAAATTACTGTACTAGTACATTCAAAATCCCATTACTGTTCAGAACAACGACTAAATCATCACACTTCAATGGTTTTGGCAAAATTATTATTTTCTCCTTCAAGCTATTTATAAACAACTGTCAGAGTTACTTAGGGGTGAAAATGTTCTTTCTATTGGTTATAAGCAGTAGCTAATTAGTAGTAGGTGTGACTAAATAAGAGCTTTCAAAAGATTGGTGCAGTGGGAGGAGCCACTCTAGTAGACTTGCTAAAAATATTGCTATCTCAGCATATCATAAAGGAGGGAGGTTCTTATTTTATATTCAGCTTGTCTATATTTCAAATTTGAGTTTCTAATTCATTAGCTACTTATAAATGTTGTATGGTGGGCACAATAAAATGGCAACTGAACAGTAAGACAACTGGACGTGTTATGTGACACACAAAATCGATATTTAACATTTTTTTCTTTACATTTTCTTTTAAATTAAGAAATTAAAACATATATAATATCAAAAATTAAATTATAAACTACGTTTTGATGCCAATTTCATTGATGTAAGTAGTAAAAATGTTACTTAATAAAGTTTTGAAAATAATGCTCCAAAATGTCGTGACACGTGCACTTTAACCTACACGGGGTGAAAGGGTTAATATGACATACTCAACCTCTATAGTCAGTTTGTTACATTGGTCAAATAACAATAATTTTAGCAGAGAAATATAACCTTGCATAGATGCAGATAAAAATTCACATTTTTTGTAAACAACCTTTAAAAGATTAGAGTCACGATTCTAATGTATTTTTTACAAAGTATATTTTTATCCTTCACAATATCATGATAGCTTTCAAGCAACCAAAATTGTGTTTTGCATATGCTATAGGATTAATTATTGGCAATTGTTGATTATTATTAATGTAACAGTGGTAATCATAGCAAGTTGTACACTTTTTCAGGAACCTCCATCTGAATCAGAAGTAACTCAACTACTTAGTGCTCTAGGAATGGCAGCAGAAGCATCAGGAGATAGTGGAGATGGCACTGGACTGCTTAATTTAATGCACAGTGTTATGCAAAACCTTTTGTCTAGAGACTTACTCTACCCTGCCCTACAAGATGTCATAAGGAAGGTAGGAGATTAAAACTAGAATACTAACATACATCACTTGATCTACACTTTAAAAAAAAACAACTTAAGAGCGTTAATTTTAACGTATTAAGTGTATAAGGTAGAAATAATAAGACTTTGATTGAATATTATGTAAGATATATTGTAATATATCGTTCCTGCTAGCAGCATTGTTTACTTTTTCATACCAGTTTGTGTAAGGTATTTTGATATACAACAGAGAATGTCACCTAACTGATAGTTAATTTTAAATATTACAATAACTAAACAATCTTAAGAAGGATGTTATGTATCAGTATCAGACCTTTTAATTATTAAAGTACAAATATCTATAATATTACCTTAGTATTGTGAGAATACATAAATAAAACCTTTCGTGGATATCATTGTAATATTTTTAAACAGTCCTTTGTAATCAGTATTTAAGCACCAACTTTGCCCTTTGTACCAGTTTTAAATTAACTTGACAACTTTACATTTTTCACAGAATTATGGGTACTAAATTATTTATTTAGTTACCATTAGATACATATGCTGTTATTGATTTGTTGATTAACAGGTAAATTAACTTCTGATACAATACATAACCTCCTTTCGCATTTAGCTTATCCTGATTTAGTGCTGCCCTCTGTATGCAAACTTTTTCACTAGCCACTAGCCTTGAGGCTGCCACCCAGTCTCACATGTTTCCACATGATATTGCTACATTGTGCAGTTGGTTCCCTCTAGACTTATTCTTCAATCATCACTTTTCTATTTGGTCCTTGTGCATTAAGATATCTTTTTTTTCTCTTATGTGAGATTTCTCAACATTAACATTTGGTTTAAATATCTACCAACCACTTATTGTGGAAATATTTCTTTGTTTTTAGTTTGAAATAATTCTCCCTCTGCAGACATTGTGGCTCTTATTTTCCACACTGTCTACTGTTGAACATCTGGACTTTGTTCACTTCAGACAGACCATTACCAAGATACCAGGTGCTTCTTTCTCTATCAGGGGACACGACAGGTACTTTGATCTTTTTCAGGACTTCTCCTATAATTCCTGTGTGTGACGACATAGATTTTAAGCAGTCTTTCCTTCCACCTAAATTTGCAAACAATTCTTCCAGTGCAGACATGAATCTACCTCAACATTTTACATTCTTTTGTAACTTTTCTTCTCGGGTATGTTACTTTTTCTTACTCTCTCCTATTTCTTTTTACTTTTCCTTCTTTTTTTCTCATGATATCCAAGTTCATGCAGAAAATAGTTTTTGTTTCACCTTCACTCTGGCGCCAGTATGGCTCATCCTCTTCAGCTGGTTGCACATATGTTTTGGTTTGTAATCAAGTTGAAGCCCTTTTATTTGACTCCCAAACTCTGGAGTTCTGATCCATTGTCCTCTATTAGTCTTTCTCAAGCTCAGTTTTCCCACATTTGCCTTATCCTCACTACCATTTTATATTATCTATCCCCCAACCATCACCATTTAGAAACATTCCACGATTTTCTTGAGGGGTTTTTGACAGACATTTGTTCTCTTCCTTTTTCTACATTAGGGAATTATTCTTCCTTGGCCTTGTCTCTTCTTACTTGGTTTATTTGTTTCTGGGATGCCCTTCTTGCCTAAGTACACTTACTTCCCTCTTCTTTTAGGGACCTTTATGTTGCTCGTTTCCTCTGCCAATGAGTTTTTGTTAAGGTACCCGACTGTGCTCTGCTGTCCTCTCGACTCATTTCTGTTCCTTTTTTTTTCATCTCATTTTGCTTCTCCCATTCATTCTTCCACTATCTGTAAGTTTCAATGCTGACAGTCTGAACTTGTGAATCTATAGATTCCCTTTGTGGCCAACTGTTGGGTGATACAAGTTCTATCAATAGGCCTTATCCTTTGTTTTTCCTCTCCTCCTCCCTTGCCTCCTATTCCTGTTCCTTTCCCTCCTCCATGAGATACTGTATCATGCTGGTATCTCTCTCTGGTGTCAGACCTTTTCAACAAGGATGCTGTCGAAAGTGTTTCTCACCTTTTTAAGGATTTTATTCCCATCTGTTTGTTATTCCCAAGATAATAGGGGATTGATGTTGGGCCATAGATATTTCATGTCTCAATCAATTTCTTGACCATCCTCAGTTTACCATGGAAAAGTTTCATATCCTCTGGTAGTCATTTTCTTCAGGGCTTTGGATGACCAAGATGAATGTTTTTGATGCTTATATTCCATCTCCATCTCCCCAGCATCCAGACTTTACCTTTTGTTTGTACATCAAGGTTGAGTTCATCAGTTCTGAACCCTTTCTTTTGGACTGGCATTGGCCCCATACATTTTTTATCATGTATTGTGTGCCTTCACTTGTCGCATTCATGCTTGGATTGAGATTCCACAACTATATAGATGACTGATTTCTTTTAGCTCCATCCTGTCAGGAATCCTTTGACTATACTCTTTTCCTTCTTTGGAAGGTGGTTCTTCTAGGTTAGCTGATCAAGCTAAAGAAGTCTCATTTCACACCTAGTTTGTGTGTGTGTTCTTCCATTCCTGTCTCAGCATGGCACAGCCTTCTCTGCTTTATGTATGGAACAATGAAAGTTTGGTTACCACAGACCTAACCTCTTCTTCTCTTCCTGTGTGAGAGGTTCTCTTTCTTTTGGGGTCCTGGGCTTCCATGAAACTCTTTATCTCCTTGGGTCATGCTCTCATGCATCTTTTTACAGTTGACTCTACATGATTAATGGAACCTCTTTTGGGATCCCTTGTCCATCTTCTCCCTTTCCTGTATAACAGTCTCACCTGATGACTAGACAAAACTGATATTACAATGAGAGTTCCTCTTCTTCCCTCATGCCTGGATCTTCATCTTTTTACACATACTTCCATGGTGGGTTGGGATGCTTGTCATGACTCTTTTAATTGAATTTTGGGTCAGGGGAACCAAAAAGGAATCAAACTGTCATGTAAACTTTTTGGAGCTCTCAGCAATTTAATTTAGATCATTTTTCTGCAGTTGTTAGGGGGACACTTAGTCTCACTCTCTCTGTTTCCCTTTTGTGGTCTGTCACGTTCAGAGTGCTCTGAATCTTATTGCTGATCGTCTTTCAATACTCAACAAGATATTCTGATGTAGTGGTCCCCCAATCCTCATGTGTTTCGATGGCATTTCTCTCACCTGGGCACTCCTCCCATTAATGCCTTGGCCACTTATATAATGTGTTAAACTTTCCATATTCTAGTCTTCTTTCCACATCTGTTGGCATTGGTGGTGGATGCATTCAGTCAAGACCGGTCCAATCTCTTCCCTTATGCTTACTCTCCCTGTTTGTCTTATCTCCTTCCTTGTTTGAGAAACTCTCTGTTGGTTTCTTCTGTTATTAGTAGCACCCTATCGGCTGGGTCAGTCAAGGTTTTCTCTACTGAGCCTTTTGACTTCTTCTTCTTCTGCTCTCTTCTTCTTCAGCCTTGTATCTCTCTCTTACATCTAACCATGTCATCACTCCAGCTTCACATGTGGGATTTGTCTGGTCCCTTGCACAACGGTAGGGACTCTCTTCATGTGTAGCCTTTTTCCTGCCTCATTCTGTTCACCCATCCTCCTTCCATGTTTATCAATGGAAGTGACATATTTATCACCTCTGATCTCTGCTTCGATCCTTCTCACCTTTTCATCCTTCCATTCCCCATCTGTCTGAGTTCTTCACATGACTTTTTCACCAGAGCTTGTATATCTTGACTATTGCTGGTTACCAGATGACTCTCTCAGCTACTTTTCAGTATTCCCATTTTCATTGAATTATTACCTCCCCATTTTTTACTATGCTCTTTCATTCCTTTCACTTCCATTGCCCTTTACCCCACATCCCTTTGAATCTTTGACTTCCTTTCCTTATACAATCTGCCCCTTAAAACGTATTTCCTCCTCCTCCTTGCCTGTGGTCATCAACATTCTGATGCATACACAATTGATTCTTTTCACAGTGTATTCCAGCACTTTTATATCCTTCTCTGTCCAGATTGCATTTTTCTCCTGAAAGCATCTGTGGCATGTAAAGGTGAGGGTGTGTTCACCCATATATCTTTTCATTCTGTTTCTCATCTTTATTCCTGTTTGTGCAATCCATTATTACTTGGCCTGCACTTCTTCCTTTCATGGTTCCCAATTCTGTCTTTTCATTCTGTGGAATCCTTCTTCCTTTTTTGATCTTTCTCTTCTTATTCTCACTGGATGGGTCCAACACCTTATCTTTATCATATTCTTCATTTGATGGAGATGCAAATTGACATTTCCGGGTGTCCTCCCATGAAATTTTTTACCTAACTGACTCATTGGCTGCTCACTTCCATCATCCATTTGAGGAGATTGTTCAGGTTGGCATGTGGATGACATTTTTGTTGCACACTACCTCCATCTCATCGCCATCTCTTCCTCATTGGGCTATTAGACTGCCTCCGGTTGCTAAACTTTACATATCATACTGTCTCGGACTGGATAAGTCTTTTTTTTTTATATTACTCTCTTTTTACAGAGCCTTATAGAGTCCCTTACATGATCCTGCTCAGTGGCAAGTGTTACCTGCACATTGTAGGGTTGTTCCACAAGACTGCTTGAGTTATCCTTATGATGCTCATTTTCCTAAACAAGGCTTGATCCAGACCATACTTAATCATGGAATAGCACAAGTAAAGCGGGGCATGGGATCCCTGTCCATCCTTCATGCCTATTTTAAAACCTAATGCTAGCCGGCTTTTAAAAATGTAGTTTTCAAGGTACAGTACACCTTGGATTTCCTCCATCCTACCAGTATCCATATGTTGGGTTCTAGTGCAGTCTGGTGTTAGATTGGCACAGGACCAGCCAACATACATCCTCACTCAGTTGTAGGGGGGATGTTACTTTCACATTCTGCCTCACTTTGCTTGAGGTAAAGATGGTAGGAGTCCTTCTACTACTGCAGCCTGGAAGCCAAATTCCTGGTGCCACCTGGTTTTGGACTGGAGGTATCCACCATGTACTGTCTGATG